ATTCCAGCACAAGACATTGTGCCCATTCACTAAATTCCTTAATGCTGCAAGTGAAAAAAACAAGGAACTGATAAGTTGTTTAAAATAGGTGCTTTTGCAAGATCTATAGTTGCCTTTTTTTTATCTCTGGCTACCATTACTAACACATTTTATAGTCTAATAGGACCACCAGTCAATACTTATAAGGCAATAAAACATCCTTGTTCATATTTGTGAAGATACTACATATAATGTACGCAAGGAAAAAAATATGTTCACAGATTATAGGGTATCTATAATCCTTTTTCACAACAAGAAATTGAAAGAGACAAAAATCCTTTCAAAGGGAAGCAAAGCCCAGAGCAGTTGAGAAGATTCAGTTCATCAGGTGTGTTTGACAAATGCTAGCTCCCCCCAACCCCACCAGCCCAGAAGAGAAAAGAAAAGGCTAACAATATTACGTAACAGTGCTGTCCTTTAGGGAAAACATAAATTAAATATCACAGCTTTCCAAAGTTACAGTCCATTAAAGTATCAGAGAGGAAGCAACTACTTGAGAAAAGATTACCGATTTAGAAAGTGATATACGACTGGCTTGCTAAGCAGAAATTCTCTCTCCCTGGCCACTTCCTCTGATGTGGATGACTCCAAGGTCCAAATTTCTTGTAAAGCAGACAAACAATTTGCAACTACCTGATGAAACAAACATGACCACATATATATGTAAGGTACACAATTTATTTGGTGACTGTTGTTATTCTGATATATAGGTGAACAAAAATTGAAAAGTAATAACAAGAACAAAAGATTACAAAAAAAATGCAGAAGATGAAACAACCATGGTCTGTAAAGTATAATTTATTTGGTGAATAACAATTTAAAAGCAATAATAAGAACAAGAAATAAAAAATTAAAACATATAATCATTAGAGACAGCAGAAGCACAACTTAAACATTTACAGATATGTTTGGATAAACAGCTTAATTAAACACTTATTCAACTATATAAAGATGTATAGCGTAAATTTGACCATCAAACTTATTAGAATAAGCTGAAAAAAGTTTATTTTGATAACGTATATGAATAATAAGCTTATTGAAATGAACTAAAAAATATTTATGTGAATCATAAGTTATTTTCATAAACTTTTCTAAAAGTCCCCTAAATCAATTTCAATTCGATATCAAAATGTGACAACAAATAACAAAAGAGAAATGACCAACAAGTTCAGAACAGCTTTAGTTTTTTATATTGTATATGTTAAGGTTAAGGAAATCAAATTATCTTCAATGATAAAATAAAGAAGAAGAAAGTAGAACTCACAGAACATTTTTCAGGGTTTGATACTAATAATAATAATGTTCACACGTTTCTTAAAGTAAAGCATGTTAACCATAATAAAAGAAAAATAATTTATTTATTTAAATAAGGTAAAAATACTTGCATTATACCATAAAACATACACTTCTTAATCAAACAAAAAAACTATTAAAATGAGACTTCAAGCAACCAGCCCTAAAGTATAAATTACTCAAGGATACTGTATAGTGTTCAAATTGAAACACTCATTTGAATAAATTAAATTTACCAGCAGGAGGAACAGATAAAATAAAAGAGTCCTGCCTATGACAGAACTGGTTCTCAGTGTATTTATTATTACACAAGTATCCTAATCAAACTGTGATCTGTATCATACAAGCTCTTTTTTTTTTTTTGTTACAAGTGTCATAAAACTTTGCATTTTAACATGATATATGTTCTTGGAAATGTCCAAAGACATCATCCAGGGATACTAGCATAATATAAGCAGATGATCATTTAGAAAAAAAAGGAAGAAGATGAAGACATTTTTAACAAACAAGAAACAAAAACAAAATCAAGCATATTAATTTTTTAGTTTTTACATGTTTGCTTGCAGTTCCATTGAGCATTGGACAATAAAGATTAGTTGGTTCTAAATGTACTCTTAAATTCTATATACAAAAGTTGAACAGCATTGTCATTCTTTATCATAGATGGAGGATGAAATTTCCACACAGATGGAATCCTCACCTGCGTATCAGGGTCATTAAGCATCAAATGTTTCAGAGTTGCTGGAAAATCTGCATCAATACAGGTGGAAGCTGATATATGATATAGTTTCAAAGCCCCTATAACTGCCACCATCCTGACATAACTATTATTGTCCTTCAACCCAGACCCTAATGGCCCAACCAAATACTCCACCAAGTTTGCCACTCGGAGCGAACACAAACTCCTCAATGCTAATCCCCGAATCATTGGATCCTCATCCTTGCAATCTCTTTGTAGAAAATTAATCGTCAGAAGTGCAAGGTCAGGATTGACCTTTGCATAGTTCCCAACATATAGGTAGCACATTTTTTTCAGAACAATATCTGATGTTGCCGAGCACATTACCATCTCGCCAAAGAGAGACGAGACATCAATACCTATAGTCATGTTGGAAATCACCTTCTTGAAGAGATCCCGCTTAGAATCATCAGCACCCGGAGCTCGGCTCCCAGCAAGCTGCCGGAGCTGTGATTTAAGATCAGAGACTTCACTCTTCCTGGTTAGATTAAACAGTAGGTCAGTACTTGAAGTAAAGACATTAAACCATGACGATGAAAGAATCATCTACATGGACAAAAAAAAGCTGTGATATTAATATCAAGAGCATATTCAAGGTAAGGCAATAAAAAAAAAAAAACAAAGTAAAAAGGGCACAAAAAGCTAATGCACCAACTAAATGTAGTTAACATAGCCCCTTTCCTTATTTCAGAGACAAGTTTCTGAAATGCCAAAATTAACGCAACGTTGATGAATCCGCAACACTACGTCGTGTGACTCGGTATATAGAACTTAACCGCTTAAGTTATCACACACAAGCACAGTAGATTTCATAATTGTACTCCAAATAGGACAAAGCTCAACGGCATTGGATCTTTAACGTTCATGATAACCTAGCGAAATTTAATAATGTGCGTATTCGAATATTTGACTACATGCTGCGAGATAAGACCAAAACATACGAAATTTCGCGTTTGTCTAAAACCAAACGACGGCAATAGCTATGCAGTTTCTTCCGTAAATGAGTCCAAATTGAATTAATGAATCATTCAATATAGAAGAAGAAGTAAAAAAAAAGGCAAAGAAGATGGATTTGGGAATTGACCCTGATGGTTGCGACGGTGAGGGAGATCGCTGAGACTGGGGCGGTGGTGGAGCCATAGCCACTGAAACTTGAGTAGAACAACCACACACTTAGATCGACGACCCTTCTTCAGAGAAAGTGAGATCTAAACGAATACAGAAAAGTAATTGGTAATTGCTGCAGTGCTGATTGAGCTTGTAAAATTTTTACAAGAAAAAAGAGTTGGGAGTTTGGTGACATGAAATTTAGAAACCACACAGAAAATAAGAGAAAAAAAATAAAAAACAATTGCACCTGCCAGATACACTTTCGACGTATGAGAAGCTGAAGTGGCGAGATCTGATTGACATCTCTTTCCGCTTCTAAGACCTGTTTCTCGTGAGAGGAAAAAATAAAATAAAATAATATCACATTTCATTGCATTATTTTATTTTTAAGTGAAAATTTGACGCTCTTAAATATGTTTGTTAATATTCATAGTTTTTAATTTTGTCATTTTCTATCATTTTTTCTAATTCTAGTTGGTTTTACCCGTTGTTCTGAAAATTCCGAGCAACGACGTTGTTGCTATGTGAACAACTGTATCTAAAATTATTAAGATCTAAAGCTTTGTTCATCCATGAAGGCATGTAAATTGACTGGACAGGACATACACTTTAATCCATTCAACTTCATTTCCAATCTAACCGTTCAGCCGGTGTGAATTTTCACTAATTTTTTTAGGGAGTTGTTAAATATTGGTTAAAGTTATTCAATCAAAATTAATATTAATTATATATAATTTTATTTAAATTTTAAAATAGTATATTATTAATAAACATATATAACGACAATACAAAAAATAATTGAAATTTTGTTTGGGAGTTATATTTAAAAAAAAAAAAGAACGGGTCAGTAAAATTTAATTTTAATCTGAGAGTTAATTTATTTTGGAGGAAGAGAATTAAGTAATTTTTCTAACTCCAAAATTCTTTTAAGCTTAAGTTTGTGAGTTTGGAAAATTTTTTAAATAGATTTTTAAAATGATTAATTTAAGATAAAAATATTTTTTTAAAATTTAATTTTTAGAGTGAGAATTTTCTAAAAATTATTAAAAAATAGAAATATAAATTTTAAAAATATTAATTTTTAGAGAAAAATATATAATTTGTGTATTGTTTTAAGAAAATAAAGAAAAAATAACAATAAATTAATTTTTTTTAAATATATTAATTTTTAGAGTGACAATTTTTTTTAAATTTATTAAAAAACAAAAATATTAATTTTAAAAATATTATTTTTTAAATAAAAAATTATTTAATTTTTGTATTTTTAAAAATATATATAAATAAAAGATATAAACATTTATGATAAATATAATAATCAATTTTGACACTCAAATTTTATTTTATATATAATTTTTCTCTTAATTACCTACAATAAAAAAAAGATAAAACATTTTTTAACGAAGTCTCAAATACTATATTTTCATAGTAATTTGACATTATTTAAAGTTAAGAAAAACATCGTTTATAATTTATCATAAATTATTATAATAATTTTTAACGGTATATTTTACTTTAATATTTATATATAATATATTTTATTCATTTTAATTTTTACATATAACATCTTATTTATTGTTATCTTTATTGTAATTTGATTTTTCACATAGATTAAAATAAAATATGTATTATATACGAGAATTACAGCAAAAAGATGTCTTAATACATATATGAAAATGCAACTTAATATTTCACGAACTATAAATATAAACAAATTTATTATACATATTCTTGTTAATTTTATATAATTTTGATTGAAAAAAGTAAATATTTATATTTCAAGCCAAATCGATTTAAGCAGAAATATGGATAGGGGTTTGACAGGATTGGAAGAAAACGACGTTTTCAGTAACGCGGGTGTGGAATGGGAGTGTCGTTTATTAGCTAGCGAAGATATTTGCACTCAAGACTGCAGCGACGTGATAACAGAAGTGGGAGATGGTCCTTCTTCACCTCCCAAGGTTCCCTCTCTACTTTGTAGCCTCAGCTCACTCACTTTCCCTCCGAACTTGTTCCACTCCCTCCATAAACACCCTCTTACACTTACACGCACCCAAATCCACTCTCACCACCTCAGAACCCGAAACCATAACCCCTTCCCCATCAGAGTTGTCCCTCGAGAAGCTCTTTATACCACCGGATACTCCTGTTTCACTGGACAGTGCCAGAATCCTCAATGGTTCAAACATCTTGCTCAGCAACTACGCTGATGATGCTCTGGTTTCGCAAGCCGAATTTGTGAAAAGCAGTGTGAGAACCGAAGATTGCCCCTCCGATGGCCTCCCCGAGTTCGCTCTCGTTGGACGCTCCAATGTTGGCAAATCATCGCTCCTTAATTCTCTCGTGCGTCGCAAGAAACTCGCCTTAACTTCGAAGAAACCTGGTCAGCCATTATTTCATGTATTAGGGTTAGGGTGTTTTTTGGAAATGGGTTGAAATTTAATATAGACATAGGAAAGGGCCATTTGTATGCTTTGAGCGATATAGTATAAAGAATTAAGTAATATGCTGAGTAGTGTGTTCATATTGCCAATTGATGCATAATAAAGGAATTCAATAAAATTTTAACTTATTGGCAATTGAGATTTTTTGGCTTTAGGCATTCATTGACAGTATTAATTTTTTATTTTTTATTTTTGCAGGAAAAACACAATGCATTAACCATTTTCGGATTAATAATAGCTGGTATCTGGTTGATTTGCCTGGCTATGGGTATGGCGTACTATTACTACTATTTACTCGCTTCTGCTATACTCTTAAAGTCTTACTTTATGTTAAAGATTCAGTCAGGCCTTTACTGCATGTTAAAGATTGGAAACAGTGACTAATATATTTGATGTCAGCGGATTAATGTGGTGTGCAAATGTTATTGATGAAATTTGTGTGTCAGACTAAAGAGCAATAGGAATCCATTTTGTTTTTATTTCTTTTAGGTTGATAGATTAGTTATACAGGCTTGAAAATAATTTCAAATGGTATTTGTCTTATGATTTTTATAAATCTTTTTCCGTGAGACATTTATCAACATTAGTTCTTGAAATGCTCTTGTTATGTTTTAGCACTTGTAGTTGTCTTTAGGCCAGATTTTTTTTTCTTTTAAATGGTAATTTGTACTTTTTTTTAGGACAGCTACTGACTACTGATGAATAATTTGATCCTGTTCACCATTCTCAGACAATTTATATGCCATTTTGTTCTTTTCATTAGGTATGCATCTGCACCGCAGGAACTTAGAATGGATTGGGGAAATTTTACCAAGGACTATTTCCTTAACCGGTCAACCTTAGTTTCAGTATTCCTTTTAATAGATGCTAGCATCCCAGCTAAAAAAATTGATCTTGAGTATGCCAGTTGGTTGGGTCAGAATCAGGTAATGTATCAATTTTTCTTTATTAGCAAATATTTCAATGACGCTACAATGTTTGCTTACTAGCAATCCTGCATGTGCTACCTGATGGTCACAGCATAACTTATATAGAAGTCTGGCTCATGTATGCCTTCCTATCTTTTTCTGTCTGGTTGCAACCACAGCGATACTATTCCTTATAGCTAATGGTTGACTGGCACATCTGAGTTCCTCTTCATCTTTATGTCCTGTAGATAACGTGCATATGGAGGTGTAATACTGAGAATATTACACTTAAGTTATAGAAACTGAAATTACTCAAATGTTTTTAACTTGATAATATCTTTAAGGGGACTGGCTTTACTCAGCTAGAACTTGGTCATCTATATCTATATGGAGAACAAATAAAATTTCGGATCGACTTTATTAGGAACTCTTGTATATGACACAAGGACAAGTGAGAATACAGTTCCAACATAAATTAGTTATTGCAATTTAAATGTCGTTATGAACTGTGGTTAATTAAACTTGGTCACTCCTAAAGGTCAGGTCATTTAAGCAGGACCTAGGAAGAGCCTTACTTCAAATGAGAGCTTCATAAAGTAGTCACTTCTCACACTTAGCCGTACGGGGACTTGTGCTCTGCATTAACAGAGTAGAGTTAGTAATTTTTTTGGTAATAAGATCAGGTTTAATACAGTTTTTCTTTCAGATCCCAATGACATTAATCTTCACCAAATGTGACAAACGGAAGAAGAAAAAGAATGGAGGCAAAAGGCCAGAAGAAAACATCAATGATTTTCAGGACTTGATCCGTGGCTTCTTTGAAACAGTGCCTCCATGGATCATGACCAGTAGTGTCACCAATCAGGGTCGTGATGAGATACTCCTCCATATGGCCCAGCTACGAAACTACTGGCTCAAGCACTAGTTCCAAAAACATGGCATACTGTTGTTACTTGTTAGACCAGGTATGTCAATCTTGAATCCTTAAGCGAGTGATGGTAGATTTGAGTTGCTTTATGTTTTTTCTCTCCGTGTCGACTACTAGGAGACTAAATATAAATAGCTGATGGTTTATGTTCTAAATCAATGTAATTTCTCATGTTTATTATAGTAATAGAGAAAGTGCTTTAAATTGATTAACATTTTACTTAGTATCAAAATCTTATGAAGTGCTTTATTTTATTTCATATTTATCGTTGCAGATACACGTTTCCAGATAGATTACTTGATTACCAGGTAATATGGTTATCAATTTATCTAATTCCATGGTGTGCCATTTATGTATTGCCCAAGTTCCAATGGAAGGCCTAAAGCAAGTGTTATGAAAGCTGGATAAAGAGATAATTTAGAACAAAGCTTGATACCGTATACAACACCCTGCCAGCGTGAGGCTCTACTTCCAGCCCTGTACAATTGTTTTAATAAAGTTAGGTTTGGATTTTTTACAAATGGTTGTTAGCAGCGGAAAATTAATTATGATATTTTCATTCAATTACTTGTACGCTTAACAAGTTCTATCATAATTGATTTTAAGGCTCCCAACTTTGCCCCTGCCTCGAAATTTTCTTCACTTGATGGAAAACGATCACTGACGATGGACGTTTATTTTCTTGTGGTTGGAGATGAGCTGAAGAATCAAAATACCACGCGAGGATGCAGTCGGAAAGGAATACCCATATAAAAACTTTTGGCATTTTCTCTTTATACGTCGGTGAGAAGAGTGGGATATAAGATAGCATTCTTCAATTTTTAAACCTCGACAAATCTATCAATTATTCTTTATGCTCTCCGTTGTCTAAATAATTATTTAGATCCCTGACATGCACTTTAAACATAACTATTAACCAGATAACCCTAGCATGTTGAACAGCGGTGACCCGAATTGTACTCATGGACTCGTAAGAGGCGCAAGTTAGGTCAGCTAAGCATCAACAACGAGACCTGCTCTTTCCAAAATGGTCCCAGAACCATTTCGGCTGCCATATTTTGTTTTTATTTAGAACTTTTTGGGGGCTGCAGAGCATTTACCTTGACCTCTATATACAAAGATGGCAGCATGAGAAAGTTTGAATAGTCCGGATAGTGGGACTGTCTCCGCTTTGTGCTACATCGTTTCTTGGGTGCACTATAGTGTGTATTTGCTTCTGCATATTGAATTGTTGGTGCAGATTTTTCATAAACTTATAGGAGTATTTGATGCGAGTCCAAGGAATAAGTTTGAGCAATGTTATTGAGTTGGCATGGCATGGTTTTGATTAAGGGGTCACAATCTGGACACATTCATAGAACCTGTTGAAAATGTTTCATTGAACATGTCATAAAACACCATTTTTTCCTACTTTAATTATTCATTGAACTAATAAGTTACACCTAAAATCTCCAATTCCAAAATTTTTAACTGTAGCTTCTAGCAAAGGTTACCCAACTACTAGTCAATTAAATCCAATAAATATTCTTTACATAAACAGCTAATAATAGTTTACAAAAAAAAAAAAAAAAAAAAACAGCAATGGATAAGAGCAAAAAGCGAGATCCACAACTTTGCATATTACTCACCTCAATGTTCCTAGCTCTAGGAACCTTTTTTCTAATATGAATGCTTATCTCATTTTACAACAGATAAAATGGGGTGAATCGGTTATAATAAAATATACTTTTTAATATTATATAATATGTCAAGCAATAAATTAATATAAATTTATAAAAAATATTTAGAATAATATAAAAATTTATATTAATATATTTTATAAGATAAAAATTGTAATAAGTGATTAAAAATAATAATTTATATAGAAATATTATTATGAACTTTTATTTTTTTTTAAAATAAAATAAAAATATTTAACTATACTTTTGGGTCGTTCAGACCAGAGATTTGATTGATTCTTAAGTCTACCAATAAAACTAATTACTATGATTCGATTATAACAATTATATTAATAAAAAAATAAATATTAAAAAACATTTAAATATAATTTTTATAACTTTTTTTTTATTTGCTTAGTTAATATTGCTAGAAGTGATGAGGATTTCTCATACATTAACATACGAAATTAGTAAAATATCCACGAAAATATAAATAAAATAAACACATTATACCTTTACCTTAACCCTCTCCCACTGTTGGCTGCCGCTGGAGACTGGAGAGAATCCGTGAGTTTTGCCGCCGCAGTTACGCTGCCCAAAATCGCATTTGGTAGAGTGGCATCCACCTGTTGTGGTAGGTTCGACAACTTATTAGAAATTAAGATTCCATGCCTTCTTCATTTCATTAATTTCGTTTTCCCGAGTTTTTATTTTTTTTTTATTTTTAATGATTAATGGATATCCAGAAACCTTCATTTCATTTCCTCGAACTCACAGGTGGAATTATTTTGGTTCATCTTTGGTGCAGAGTGAGTGAGAGGCGTCAATCTGAATGGGTTATTTTCACTATGGAAGACAGGGTGTTAGGCACATATTTAGATTTAAAAGTGCGACGGGCGTGGTTAGAAATTCTGTTAGGTCTCAATTGACTTGTGCTGTCACTGCATTTTCCTCCGATTTCCCTTTTCTCTTGAAGAGTCTCTATTCCACTACTTCGGACTCGAGAATAGTTCAGGACCTTCTGAGTCAGGTGGAGAAGGACAGGCTCAGGGAGAAAAATGAGAGAACGAGGCTGGGTTTGGACACTGCCGACATCGATGCCGAGTACGAAGAGGACTACATGCGCGTTGGCCCTCTCATTGACAAGCTTCGAAAGGAGAGTCTCAAGGATGACCCCGAATTGAACCGCTATGAAGAGCCAACAGATTCCGACAGCGATGAGGAAGACAATGAGGAGGTCCAGAAGAGGTTTCGTGATTTCGAGAGGAAGTTTGAGAAGCACCAGGACTTGCTCAAGGGCTTTACTGATGCTGAAACGCTTGACGATGCCTTCAAGTGGATGAACAAGATTGACAAGTTTGAACAGAAACATTTCAGGCTTCGCCCTGAGTACAGGGTCATTGGGGAGCTCATGAACCGCCTCAAAGTAGCGACTGAGATAAGGGAAAAGTTCATTCTGCAGAACAAGCTTAATAGGGCCTTGAGATTGGTGCAGTGGAAGGAAGCTTATGATCCTGATAACCCTGCCAATTATGGTATCATTCAACATGAAAATGCGGATACACTGCAAGATGCTGGCTTTGAAAAGGAGCAGCAAATCACAGAAGGAGATAATGCTCCTGCTGCTGTTGATGACGATGATGAAGAAGAGTTTGATGACTTGAAAGAAAAAGATAGTGTGCTACTGGCCAAACTTGAAGCTATTGACAAGAAACTTGAGGAGAAGCTAGCAGAACTTGAATATACATTTGGGAGGAAGGGTAAGGCTCTAGAGGAAGAGATCAAAGATCTTGCAGAGGAGAGAAATGAGTTAACTGAGGAAAAAAGAAAGCCTCTTTATCGAAAGGTAGTTTTATACATGCCTAATTCTCTGATTCTCTCTTAGATTTTTGGACCATATAAAATTTTCACCTTGTTGTGTACCATACTCACCTTCTCTTATACTAAGCAAGGCTATTCTAAATTGAGGTTGTCTCTAAATTAAGCCACTAATACTGTATCAATCCTTGAATTTTAGTAGGCTAAAATCACAATGCACAAAGGTAGAATAGTGAATACACTTTGTTCATTTTAGAGACAAATTTACTTAATAGGAGCCTACTCTTTTATATACAGTCTTTAACCTCAAAGCAAAAATTCTATCATTGCCTTTTGTTTTGCTTGTTAGCCTTGTTACTCTTTTTTATTGTACTCTTCTTGAAAAAAATATTTTATCTGTCTGCATGTCTGTTAGAAGTATGAAACAAAAATTTGTGAAGCACTTTCCCACCTGACTTTTTGACTGACAATAATTTCTTTGCCTATTGAACAAATTAGTTGACTTTATGGTATGTTTAGTTTTGGAATAATTTTGTGGAAGGGGTTATGGGGGATGAATTGCTACTAAAATTAATAGTGAATGAAGAGGTTGAGTTTGAAAAGTAATAATATTGATAATAACTTAAAAGAAAAAAATTGTAGTCGTAAAATAACTCCTAAAAATGAGAAATATGTAATTTCAACTGGTTTTAGTCTTTCTTTCTTTATTCACTTCTTCCCTCTTTAATAATATATCAAGTGAGCTTTTTTTTTTTTTTAATGATGTGAAAGGTCTCTTGTGTAGGTGGGGCACATTATGTGTGCATATCAGGGCAACTGCTTGTTTAACTTTTCTGATTTGTTTTTTTCCTCCAAATCATGTTGGTTTTGATTTCAACTGATGTACTTAAATACCTTCTTTGGTTGTTCTTGGAATTTTTTTTCTTTTATCAAGCACAAAATAACATTTTGATCTCATTTAAAGATGTTGTGTTTTTGTAGTAGTTTGATTTTTTTAAAGTTTCAATTGATTATTATGTTGTGAAGTTTTATTGTCCTGCTTGTTTGTATAATTTTTGTTATTTCTCCCATATTCTTATTTTTGCTTTTAATAAGGCTAATTATGACTTTATTTTCTTGATTGTTGTATATGTTACCAGGGTTTTGATGTAAAAATGATAGACATGAACCGAACTTGTAAAGTTACAAAGGTATTCTACAAATATGCGTCCTTCTGTGCCTTTCCCTCCTCTCTCTTGCGCATTCTTAGTTTGTTTTGAATCTCATGTTCTAGGGAGGGCAAGTTATTAAGTATACTGCTATGGTAGCTTGTGGCAACTATAATGGTGTTATCGGTTTTGCCAAAGCCAAAGGCCCTGCAGTCCCAGTTGCCCTTCAAAAGGTATTCACAACATCTCTTTAGGTCTTTCAAGTTCTCTTTAAGGTCTTTTGGCGGTGGATAATTTCCAATTGTTCTGTGTTCAATGTCAAAAAGTTTTACAATTTCATTATCCAAGTAGATATATAGATTTGCTTTTGTTTCAATTGCTCGTTGTTTCAAGCTTGTTAAGTTTTGATTTATGACACAAATCTTTTAAGAATTTTTTGTTGGTAGTTATACTGGCTAGGCCAACGTTCTGATGCTAATTGACGTAGTTTATGGTTAATGCTTGAGATATTTGGTTCATAATTAGTGGGAGGAGCTGGTATTGATGATTGTGACTCCTGTTCTGTCATTAGAGATGTTCGATAGAAAATACCCACATTATATTCCCAGAACCTTAAACATCTTATATAAACAATTTTCTTTCAAAATTTTACTGTTCCAACAAGCTTGATTCGAATTCCATTAACATGTTTGGTTTGATTATTGTAAAGAGTATCCAAATAATTTCCATTAACATGACTGGTTTTGATCTTTTTATTCTAACTGAACCAAATTTTGGTCAGTTGCTATTGTAGATTCTCTTTTAACCATATAATCATTATTTTTAGTAAAGTGAGTCAATTAGATTGGTCACTAAGTGCATTTACTTTGTCAAGCTATACTCTGAAATCTGACATTGAATAATGTTTTAAATTCAGTAATTTGTAAAATACTTATCAAGTTCATTGTATGACACAGTATGATCACTTATTCTATATGATAATAAATGTTGAGTTTTAAAGGAATAACATAAAAAAAGAAATAAAAGTAACAGAAATAAGAATATTAAAGTGAGTGAGTAGTCATACAAGAAAGGACAAGATAAGAAATGATTGTATGTCTGAGAATATTAGGATAACACCTATATTGAAAAAAAATCATTGCAAGTCATCTAAGGTGGTTTGGTCATGTAGACAAAAGACCTTTAAAGGTGAGGAGAGTAAATCACATAACTTTTAGTTTGGTGAAAAGGGGTAGAGAGAGACTAAAAAAAACCTTGGAAGTTTTTAAAAAGATCTTTTGATTAATAATATTTCTAAAATTTCAGTTTTTGACAGAGCTTAATGATGTTGGGTGATTCATGTAGCTAACATTGTGTTAAAGTTTGGTGGTGGTTGTTGTATTGATGTTATGTTCTTGAGTATGGCTTTAGAATTTTGCTAACACAAGTATGAGCATAACATATATTTATTTTATCTCAAGAAAAGCTTATGTGTATTATGTTTAATTCAGTTTAATATTTCAGAATTCTGATATCATATTGAATTAATGGTTGATTTGACTACACAGGCATATGAGAAATGCTTTCAAAATTTGCATTATGTAGAGCGACATGAGGAGCATACAATTGCACATGCAGTACAAACATCTTATAAGAAGACTAAGGTAGCCATTTTCTTATCCTTATCTCATATTAATGACTGAGTTCATTCTGCATGTATATTTTATTATGGATTTCATGTCTTATGCATTATTCCATAGGTGTATCTCTGGCCTGCTCCCACAACAACTGGTATGAAAGCTGGCAGAATAGTCCAAAACATACTGCATTTAGCTGGTTTTAAGAATGTCAAGTCAAAGGTAACTGATGCCCAATAAAATTGAGGATGGTCCTGCAATTTTTGTGTTTGCTCTAATTTTTATTGTCTTGATAGGTCATTGGTTCCCGAAATCCTCATAATACAGTTAAGGCTGTCTTCAAAGCGCTTAATGCGGTTAGTAACTTGTCTTGCTGATGTTCTAATGGAAGTATTTCAAATAACTTTTCCCATGATATTTTATGTTGCATTTCTTGTTCCAGGTTGAAACGCCAAGGGATGTGCAAGAGAAGTTTGGCAGGACTGTGGTTGAGAGCTATCTGTTGTGATGGGCACGGCAGTTTAGTGGTTTTGGTTGTCCTCCGTCGAATCTCTTTTTTTCCTACATTTCATGTGTATTTACCAAGAATTCATGATAGTTTCCCCAATCCATTACTTATGAACATTAGGTATGGAATTTTGCCTATATTTAACTTCTCTGTCATAAACGCAATAGGAACAATAATTTAGGAGGGTTCCTTTTGCTTTATGTGTTTTTCCTTACTTTTCGAGGCATTCTTCCCACACCCGTTTAGCCACTTTTTTCTGCCTTTTAGTTTTGTTAAAGTATTTATTTGAGAAGACGGCCTTGCCGCATACAATTCTCTATCCCACAATCACGCCTTTAACAGGACAGTCAAAAGTGAGAACACTCGATGTATCATGTTTGGCAAAATACACATGAGCCATTATATTTCTACAATGATTTTGATTGGAAACTTAGTATAAGTGTGTATATTGAAATGCAATGAAAAACATGTAAACGTATAATAGCGCGAATTTAAATACGCAGGAAGTTGGCAGTGATATATCCAAGATTGGCTTTCCTACTATGCCCTTCGACCTTAGGTTTGCATCAATTACTTCAACTTTCGGCCTTTTGTTTGAAATAATTTTGCACTTTGGAAAAAAAAAACTACAAAGAAATTTTTTTTGAAGAACAAATGGTGAAGAGATTTTAACCTATCAAGGTTTTAATCCACATATTTAGTGATCATCAAACTAAAATACCATTAATCACGGGGATTAAATTGTAGGAATATGTTCCAGTTTAACATGTGATCTCAAGTTGCAGCAAGTAAAATTGTGTTATGTACTTGGAGAGAATTTTCCCATTGTCCTGCCCAACTCAAACATTATTACTTTTAGTGGAGGATACTTATAATATAGATAAAAAAATATTAAATTTAGCAAAATCAATTTAAGATAAAAGAAAAACAGTTAGTCTAACCCATTCACTGAGTTGCAGGTCAAACAGGTTGACTTATAAGTTCAATTTTAAAAAATATTTTAAAGAAAAATATCTTAACATATCAGTAATATATAACTACCACCATGTATAGAAATATTCATATAAAAATTACTTATAACATTCTAGTGTGTGTGTATATATATATATATATTAACATGTTATACATTAATATTCAATATTTAATATATTTACAACTTTATAAAACCCTAACCAAACGTCAACATTTAACTATATATTCATGTTTAGTTCAAACATGATTTAGTCTAATTAAAAGTTTGTCAAAATAAATGGGCGCAACAAGTTAGCCCAACCTAGTCAAAATAAATTTGGTCTAAAAATTATTTAAAATGCCATAAATAAAAACAGCCCAACAGGTTAGCCCAACGTAATTCAAGCCTAGCTTGCATATGGAACTTAATTTTCAAGCCGGGTTAGATTGGACATCCAGTCTCTCTCTCTCTTGTTATAGGGATTCTTTATTCATATACTGGTGAATTTCTTTTCTCCGATGTGAGCTTTTCATTTGTCATTCCGACTCTCTTTTTTTTTTTTTTTGGTCACGTTCTTTTGTTAGAAGAGTGTGATTTTAAGATTTGTTCTTTATTTGGCTTTATTGCGTTTAGTAATTTTTGGATCGCTAAATTTGATTAGTTTTAAGTGTGCGTGCTTGCTATTCTTCTCTTTATTTTGCTGTAATTTTCTATTTATTTAGCATCTTTTAGCATCCTTAGAAAGCTTGGGCATCTTTCTATCTTTGAACATTTGAATAGAATAGCCAGGTTAGATTGGATTAGATTAAAAGTAGGTCTAAAATTTTACTAATCAACTCATTAGTTAGCGGACTATTAAGGTCAATTCGTTAAATTTTATCCATTTTGATACCCTTGAAAAGCAATAATATTTAGTATTAATAACAAATTATTAATATGAATTCTCAAGATCAATATCAATATTTAAAATAATAATTTCTTATTAAGATAATATTTATTATATTTATATATTGTTGATGTAATAAATGCTTTTTTTTAATTAAAAAAATATTCATTATTTTCTTAATCAATATACTCAAAACTTAACAGAATCCATAAATATGAGCAAAAAACTGTAGACATTGATTTTAGTTGGCAAAAAGTGGTTACCAGAGAAAGTGCATCATATGGTCACAGATATCGACAGGGGCGACGGCGATTAGGGATAAAGCGATCCTTGTCAATCGGTATAGCCGCCACGGCCCACGATTCACTTCAAACTTATTAATATCTCACCTTATTAATCAATGCCATATATATATATATATATATATATAACTTTGCAATGAAAACTGCGAGCTTTCTTGTGAGTCACTAATAATAAATTTCATTTGATAAGAGAAGAGAAATAATCAATGCAAAATCGTTTATGATGCTACTTACTACCGAATTCCCCCAAAACACTTGATATTATGCCAATATAACTCACTAAGTAATGGCTTAAATATCGTTACTTCTAGAACTCTATCAAAACAAAAACATGTAAAAATCACCCCTCAAATTCTTAGGAGGCTGCAGCCACAGACTTGTTTCTGGGGGTTGCTTCAGTACCTAAATAAAGGTGAATAGATATTTAACACCCCATGCAACTTATCATTAAATTTATGAACAGAGGAAGCAAAAGAGATTGGAAAATATAATTTACCTTCTCTGAAGTTTGTCTTGAACCTGCGGGGGACATTCCTAAGGTACCTCATTCGACCAGTTCCCGTCGTTTTTCTTCGGATAGCCTTCACACTCCAATTGTCTGAAACCACAAACATATGACTAGTGAAGTCATCAAAATCTCAAGTGCACCAAGCACATCAAGTTTAAAGCAAAAATAACAGCAAAAAATTACAAACAGTAAAATTTTAGGATACATTGAAAGAGAATTGCGAATGGGAACAAGCAAAGGCCAAGATAATTTTTAAGACAAACGGTATATTGTGAGCCACAGATCCAGATAGCTTCAGTATCTGTCAAGGGTTCGGTTCTAAATGAATCGATGATAAAGTGAAGAACAACAGATAAAGATAGATAAGCATTCGCCAATATCCCTAGAGAATTTTATGTCATGATAATGCATTGACCAATTAGTGCAACAATGATTCATTCAATTATAACTTGAGTAAATGCATTCTTATAAGTCAAAAAATAAAATAAAGTAAGCAACAAGGCTAGTGAATTACTCAAGTTCTATAATCTCAGCGTATCAAATTCTGTATAGGCTTGTTTGAAAGAGCTTATCCATAACTTATAGGAATAGACTGACAGTAGTAAGTTTTTCTTAACTCATCTCAAAAGAAAAACTATACAACTCATCAAAATAATTTGTTTTCAGTTTATTCCAATAAGCTCCATACGGCATAAATAATTTAATTTGAAAAAAAAAAAAACTTATTAAGTGCTTACTTAATTAAGCTGCATATTAATCATACGCAATAGAGGAAGATCATGGTTGTCACCCACTACGTGTCCTAACTTGAATAAAATCATAATTAAATAAGTAATTTTCTAAATCCCAATTCCTACTACAATAACAGAAAATTCATAATCAACTAAACGAATAAAAGACAAATGTTTCTTAAAAAGAGTTGAAGAAAAATGAAAAATAGTGGTTACATTTTCGGATGCGGCTTGCTGGATAAGCACAAGCACCGCAGCGACTCTTCTGAATGTGTAAGCTTCTGCGTCCGCAACGCACACAGAGTGTGTGCGTCTTGTTCCTCCTCTTCCCAAAGCTTACCGTTCCTTTCCCCTGTCAATAGTTACCACACTACACATAATCAGTCACTATAACGTTTTATACAACACACGTATTGCAATCGAATATGGAATTACCATTTTTTCAGTAGCAGAAACCCTAGAATTAGATGTTTGTGCGAACGAGAAGAAAATTAGGGTTTGTTTATTTGATTCAGTTTTTCCTCTTTTTTTTTTTCCCTGGGATGCAGATTTCCTCTTTCTGGGCCGTGTTGGGCTTTTAATAATGGGTCAGTAAAAAAAAATCATTACCCCACATTGTGGGCAACATTTTTTTATATAGTTTTTATTTTTTAAAATACGAAAAATATGAAATTTTTTATAAAATTACAGAAATATAAAGTTTAAAAATCATCATATTTTTGGTGCAGTATAAATATTCAAAAAAAAAATGTGATAAAGTTTTAAACGTTGCTAATGACAATTTAAAAAATATATATATTAAAAAATTAAAAGTTGTCAATGACGATTTTTAAAAAAATAAATAAATATTTAAAAAGTAAATCAAAAGTTGTCAGTAATAATTTTTTAGCAAAAATTTGCCAATGACATTTTTTAAAAAAAATTATATTTTCATAATTTTACAAAAAAATTTAAATTTTTTAAATTTTTTTAAAAAACCTATATATAAAAAAATGTTCCTCACATTGTGCGATTTTTTTGATATTTTCTTTTATTTTATTTATGTTATTATACATATAAATATAAAACAAATAATGCAATTCTCGTTCAAAAATTCTATCACAAATTTTACAATACGAAAATAGAAATAAGAAAATGAAAGAGAGAAATACAAAGTTTAATTATTAATATGATAAAGATAAATAATAAAAATATTATAAATTATTTATAATTTTATAAAATTTAAAATTCCTTATTCATGCTTAAGTCGTTCATTGAGAATAGTAAAAAATTTCTAATCAAATTTTAATGTAACTATATTCTCAGTTGTAAACAAATCATATCTAAGAATGTTTAAGGCTTTTTCATCGTTGTTTTTTTTTTTTTAAAGTGTATTCAGTTTGAAGTTAATAGGAAATGATGAGTTTTACGTGTAATACACAAGTATTATGTAATTAAAATTTAACTATTTAATTAATTAGATATTTTTTAACTTTTTAAAATTTTGAATAGATTTTATGAATTTAAAAAATCAATGCCTTAATTATTAGCAATGAATATTATATTATATTATATTGATTAATACTAGACTTTAAAAAATTAATTATAAAAAATTCAATTAATATTGAATTAGAAAAGTAAACACAATATAAGAAGTCACGTAACATGATACAAAAATTAATTTAAAAATACCTTTGTTTAAAATAATTATTAAAAATAATATCACTTGTGAAAAAGATATCGTGTTTTATAAATAGAGATAGATAGATTAAAATGTTATGAGATAAATTGTATGTATTTGTTGGTTTGTCTTGTGTCACATTTCAATTAACTTTATGTTTTATGATGTTTTAAAACTTATACTTATTTTAACAAGTAAAGACAATTAATAATTTGTTAATAATAAAACAGTAATTTATCAACTACCAATCAATGTCAGTTTTATATTCTTAAACTTTTACGATTTGATTATGCATAATATTAATACTAGTTTCTCTAGTGTCTTGCAATTTAAAATGACATTTTATGTCTTTTTTATATATACAATTATTATTATTATTATTATTTATGTTCAATTTATTCCACTACTTGTTTAATAATTATCTTCTACACCACTGTCCCTTTGTTTATTTTATTCCAACAAACTCTCTTTCTCTCTTTACACATTCGAGAAATTTTCACTTCTCCTATATATACTCTTAAAACACTTTTACATTTATTTCCCTTCTTTGTCTGTTGGTGAAGGTGAAAGTATTAAATGTACACCGCTAAATACACAACATTCATTCTCCTATTATAAAAAATTAAATGTAAAAAGAAAAATTATGAAATGAGATACACATAAATAGTAATAATTGGAACAAATAGAAAAGTTATAAAATATCATCTTAAATGTTAAGGCACCGCAGTAAGTATTTAATATTAGTTTATTTATATTCTCATAAATCATTAAAGAATGTTTACGAAATTTGCTAAACTGAACCTAGCCTGTAATAGATGCTCCTTGGTGACATCAGCGGGGATAGCTCAGTTGGGAGAGCGTCAGACTGAAGATCTGAAGGTCGCGTGTTCGATCCACGCTCACCGCATTCTCTTTTAAGTTCTTACTTCACTTTTTTCTTTGTTTGGTCAAGATAACGGGTCCAGCAATCATTCAATAAGAGAGAAAATGCATGCAAGTTGGAGAATGAATGCCTTTTTTTTTTCAGATCTCTTCGAGATTTTGTTAGATTCATACGCAAAAGAGTCAGAGATGGTACTAAGAAAAAATATAGATTTTTAACTGTACTTGTTACGGTACTTTTAAATTTAATAATTAATTAAATATTTTTTAAAATTATATTAAAATATTAAAAAATATTTATATATTTTTAAATATACTACTAATTTTATTACTAAAATTAATAATTATAATTATTACACGTACATAAATATTATAGAATACTTCCTTATTTTTTAAAGGCACTTTAGAATTTACCCTTTTTTAATATAGATTCAGTGTCGGATATCCGACTGTCTCCCATACACCCAAAAAAGTGTCGGATAGGACTGGAGCCAGCAATAGAGAGCTTATAATGAACTGTGTTGTACTCTTTTCGTGTTTGTCTTCAATCCAAAAGCAAAGTAAAATGTTTTTTGGACATTTATGAAGGTGTTTAGTTTTGAATGGAGAAAGAAAAATAAAATGATAAACATGACAGGTGACATATGATAAAAAAAAATATTAATATTATTTGAGGGTTGATAATTATAATTGAAGAGCAAAACAGTTAGTCTTATTTTTCAATACTAGATCTTACAGTATCTCACCGTTCCCCTCACGTCATTTTAACTTTGGTTGGCTTACTCTCTCGCGTCGTTGGATAAGTTATCGAAGGGACATTTGTGAAGGAGAGAGAAAATGGCGAAACAGCAAACGACGACACCCTTATTAGACCAAACAAACGATGAGATTTATTTTTATATCTGTGATATTTAGAAATAATATATATATTAAATATATTTTTTAATATTATAGAAATATGGAGTTTAAAAATTATGTTGGTGATTTATAATATAGATACAAAAATTTAGAGATAAAAGAACGAAAAATGGTAAAGTTTTAAAATTAGTCAATAAAAATTTAAAAATTTATTAAAAATTTTAAACAAATTTAAAAGTGATAATATAATATTTGAAAAGTACCCATATTTTATAATTTTACAAAAAAAATTCATATTTCTGTAATTAAAAAAAATCATAAGAAAAGAGAGTCCGATGGTGATATGCAAAAATAAGAGTAGTGTAATATTAAATTAATTATCCAGAAAACCACTCTTCATCTAATAAATGGCAAGATTCATAAGCCGAAAAGAATTCGGATATGCATGCCTTTTCAATTAAAACTTATATTATTTAACATCATTAATATATTAAAATTTAGAAATATATTATTTAAATATTGTTTTTAAATATATATATTTTTATATTTTTTAATAACTATAAAAAAATAAAATATTGTATGATATCATCACGTATGCAAAATAATGAGTCATGTCTGTATATTGCAAAAATTAGTCATATCTTTTAGACGAATGAATTTATTATTGAAAATTTTTTATATATATAAAAATTTAATCTAAAATTTTAATTAAGCGATATTAAACTTACTCAAAACAACTACATCTATAAAATGGATAAAATTTTAAAATAAAAGTATAAAAATTAGATATTATATAACCCAATTCAATCCTTAAGAGTTGCGATCTGGGTCGAGATGTTAAAATCGCGATTCTGCTCACCCTAAATCAATGGGGTGAATTATCATTTATTTATTTGTTGGCAGCACATGGCAAAACAGAAAAAAGTTGTTAATGTTTTGTCAGCATTCGGAACTTCACTATCAGAACTATCAAGGAGGATTCTATTTTTTCACTACTTTAATATTATTTAAGGGTGTGTATGGAAGAGGATTTTTGGAGGAAAAAGAAGGGAATGGCTTTATTTTATATTTTAAATAAATATATTTAAAATTAATAATTTTTAGAAATAAAAAATATAAATTAATATAATAATAAAAAATTAATATATTAATAATATATTTGTCTTTCTAAATAATATATAATTCTTTTAATATAAAATAAAAAATAAGTCTTCCTTTCCTTTCTACTACAAAAATTTTCTTCCAAATATACTTTAAAGTTAACATATATGGTATTGTAGATTTTGGAGAGATTAATTCAATAAAAAAATAATAATAATTTCATTAGTGATTAAAGAAAAAAGTATGGTTGAACAATTTTTCAAAAAATAATACGGTAATAAATAATTTTAAATAATTAAGTGAAGAATTTCCTCCTTCAACTATTCAAAAACTTCTGGTACATTCACGTTTACAAGTTTCTTTTTTTCTTTTATTGTACATAGTTGAAGTAATAGGTCAGCTGATCAATTTAATTGACAAACTGTGAGTGGCTTGTCCTTGTACAGTAGGCTAGTGACAAGGTTGGCACTCGAAAGCCAATAGCCATCTCACACCAAATCAAAAGAAAGTCAATAGCTATCCTTTTTTATAGCACCTGTAGTTACATTTCAAATTGTTATTTTTTAAGTGTAGGTTTATTTTAAAGTTGATTATGACTGGCTGGTATTAATCAATGTTAAATTGTTGAATATTATTTATATAGATGTATAAAATAATATAAATTGCATCTTTTCATTAAAATGTGTTTTTTATTAGAGAATATTAAAAAATCAATTGTAAAATAAATAAGTCATAAACCTAGTAAACACATAAACAATTTTATTACAATTTATTCATTATTAATTTATTAAATTTAGTAACGCTAAGATTTTAAGCATTCAAAATTATTAAGATTGTATCAAAAACGTAAATAATAATAATTATTTTTAATATTTTTTACTACTATTAATTATTTAAATATAATCTCAAAGATTAAAATTTAAAAAATATTTTATTAATGTATTGCTTGTCTTGCGGAGACACATGTCATTCAGAAAATTTTGTTTTAATTAATATAATTTATTTGAAAAAAA